CTGCAGGTTATTAAAAGTCCAGATATCACCTCGCCACAAAACACTATTGATGGTGTGAATATAGTGTTGTTGTACAATACTGACAATAAATTAGACACATGTGCAACTCTTGGGTATCTTTATTGAGGAAACGTTTCGCCACACAGTGGCTTCATCAGTCCATACAAAGGAGAATCTTGAAGAACAGGAGGAGAATGAGGTAATCAGTCCCTCAAACTTGAGTCGATGTGGTCAGTCCATCAATCTTGAATAGAATACGGCATACGTGCTGAGAAGGAGCTTATAAACCGTTGGCAGGAGAGGTGTAGCTACACCTCGACTCAAGGTTGAGGGACTGATTACCTCATTCTCCTCCTGTTCTTCAACATTCTCCTTTGTATGGACTGATGAAGCCACTGTGTGGCGAAACGTTTCCTCAATAAAGATACTCAAGAGTTGCACATGTGTCTAATTTATCAACATGTCGGTTCTCTGAACCATTCATCTACAATACTGACAAGTTGGTATGACGTGTGTAACAGTTAGGTATCTCCTACACAGTAGGCCTCTTCAGTCCAGTACAATGGAGTCCCCAGAAGCAGTAGAAAAGACGATGTCATCAGTGCATCATCCTTGAAGACTAGTTTTGAGGTGGTCAGTCCCTCAGCCTGAAGAAGTTTGTTGCTCCAAATTCTGGCCGAGGGACTGACCACCTCCAAACTAAGTCTTCAAGGATGATGGACTGATGACATCGTCTTTACATCTCCACTGCTTCTGCTGACTCCTCCGTACTCGACTGAAGAGGCCTACTCTAGCAGATACGTTACAGAATATACGTAACTGTGGTATCCGTGTCTTTACTTATCAACTATTGACCGCAAACCTCCGTTACACCGGATCAGAGGGAGATGGTAGGAAAATACCAGGAGAATTAAGATAAATTCCAAGAAGAGTGATTGTGGTTGTAGTGGTTAGTGTATCACCAGGATACAACACGAGACGTGGTAGTATCACCAGTACAGCACACGAGGGGTGGTTGTAGTGGTGGTAGTATCACCAGTATACAACACGAGGGGTGGTTGTAGCGGTGGTAGTATCACCAGTATACAACACAGGAGGGGTGGTTGTAGTATCACCAGCATACAACACACGAGGGGTGGTTGTAGTGGTGGTAGTATCACCAGCATACAACACACGAGGGGTGGTTGTAGTGGTGGTAGTATCACCAGCAGTATACACAACACAGGAGTGGCACACACACACACACACACACACACACACACACACACACACACGTATACCTGGAGAGGGTTTCCGGGGGTCAACGCCCCCGCGGCTCTGTCTGTGACCAGGCCTCGTGGTGGATCAGGGCCTGATCAACCAGGCTGTTAGTGTTGGCCGCACGCAAGTTAAGAGGGAATATCAACGTAACATTTCCTGGTCATATTTAGCGATCAATGCTCACAGTAGCAACTGTCGTCTGAGGCTTTCCTTGTGGATATTTTTTCCCCATTTTTACCCGTAAATGTTAATTATGAGTTTACTGACCTCATTCACTGTTAAATATTTAGTTATCACTCTCCCACCACAAGGACGTAGAAGCACTTTAATGCAGACAAACGTTTGGTGCCGTAAAAACCCGCTGGCAGTGGTTGTCACTGCCAACACTGGAGCGGTCCAGTCAGGCAGCAACAATAATTAATCATTCACAACACTACGCTAATATCTCCAGAGGTGTTTGATGGCCGCCTGGTGGAAGCGGTGAGCACTGTGTGGGAGAGTGAGGGGAGGAGACGCAACAGTAGAAGGCGCTGCAGGAGCCTGGAGGAGTCACATCAGTAGTCTGCGGGGAGAGGCAGCAGGAGCCTGCAACACAGCCATCCATACGGCAGGTATTTACACACTAGTGACCTGCCTGTATCCCAGCAGCTACACTCAACACCTCCCCACAAGTCGACTCCTCTCTCTCCATATGGTTACTCCTGGCGCACCCGACACCTTAACACATTTACGTGAGAGGGATGGGCGAGTGGGGTGGACGAGTGGGCAGGCAATACACACACATGCACACATTACCACTACACATGTGTAGCAACCACCACAACCACCACCACTACTAGCACCAGGAGCATGCCCCAGCGCTGCTGCAGCCGCACCTACTGCCGGACACAGCACAAAACGCTACTACCCGTGTGTCCCAACCCCTGAGCGAGCACGGCGCTAGTGGCACGCCCACGCTGCCGCCAGAGCCCGCCCACGCTCTCCTCACCAGTGGCACCCCCCCCTCAACTGTCGACACCAGCGACACGCCCACCCTCAACTGTCGACACCAGCGACACGCCCACCCTCAACTGTCGACACCAGCGACACGCCACCCTCAACTGTCGACACCAGCGACACGCCCACCCTCAACTGTCGACACCAGCGACACGCCCACCCTCAACTGTCGACACCAGCGACACGCCCACCCTCAACTGTCGACACCAGCGACACGCCCACCCTCAACTGACGACACCAGCGACACGCCCACCCTCAACTGTCGACACCAGCGACACGCCCACCCTCAACTGTCGACAACAGTGGCACGCCCACCCTCAACTGTCGACAACAAGTGGCACGCCCACCCTCAACTGACGACACCAGGCACGCCCACCTCAACTGCAAAAACAGGGACACCCACCTCAACTGTCAACACAGTGGCACGCCACCTCAACTGTCGACAACAGTGGCACACCCACCCAACTGTCGACAACAGTGCACGCCCACCACCAACTGTCAACAACAAGTGGCACGCCCACCCTCAACTGTCAACAACAAGTGGCACGACCACCCTCAACTGTCACACCACCACAACTGTCAACAACAAGTGGCACACCACCACAACTGTCAACAACAGTGGCACACCACCACAACTGTCAACAACAGTGGCACACCACCACAACTGTCAACAACAGTGGCACACCACCACAACTGTCAACAACAGTGGCACACCACCACAACTGTCAACAACAGTGGCACACCACCACAACTGTCAACAACAGTGGCACACCACCACACAACTGTCAACAACATGGCACACACCACAACTGTCAACAACAGTGGCACACCACCACAACTGTCAACAACAGTGGCACACCACCACAACTGTCAAAAAACAGTGGCACACCACCACAACTGTCACAACAGTGGCACACCACCACAACTGTCAACAACAGGGGCACACCACCAACAACTGTCAACAACAGTGGGCACACCACCACAACTGTCAACAACAGTGGCACACCACCACAATGTCAACAACAGTGGCACACCACCACAACTGTCAACAACAGTGGCACACCACCACAACTGTCAACAACAGTGGCACACCACCACAACTGTCAACAACAGTGGCACACCACCACAACTGTCAACAAGTGGCACACCACCACAACTGTCAACAACAGTGGCACACCACCACAACTGTCAACAACAGTGGCACACCACCACAACTGTCAACAACAGTGGCACACCACAAGTGCCAACAGTGTTGCA